CACATTGCATAAAAGGCATTTAAAATCACCAAGTGACAAAGACCTAGAGCTAACTTATAAACGATATCGAAATCATTGTAATAATATTCTTCATAAATTAAAAAACGAGCACAATAAAAATACCTTAAATGAAAACAAATACAATATTAAAAAGACTTGGGATGTTGTAAAAAATGTATGCAATTTGAATACATCTCAGAAAGCTAAAGAGCCTTCCGAATTGCTGAGCGTTAAATCGACATATCAGGAATCACTTGATTACGCCAATGATTTTTTTGTTAACATAGGTGCTAACTTAGCAAATAATATTTTACAAAAATTAAAACTGTCTGAGGCCGAGATGGTGGAAAGCTTTAGATGTAATGACACGCCGCTGAATTCATTTATGCTGCTAGAAACTGATGAATTTGAGGTACATAAAATCATAATGTCGCTAAAAAATACTAATTCGACAGGTTGGGATGGCATATCGTCCAATTTCTTAAAAAAAAATGTGCACTTCATTACTGGACCTCTGGTGCGTATATTGAATTTGTGTCTATCTAATGGCAGATTTCCTGACGTCCTAAAAGACTCCATTGTAATACCAGTATACAAGTCTGGTGAAAAGGACAGTATCACTAATTATCGACCGATTTCACTTCTGCCAACGTTGGCTAAAGTTTTGGAAAAAATTATCAACAAGAGATTAATTAGTTATCTGGAAAATAATAAGATCCTATCTATAAATCAATACGGCTTTAGACAACATAAATCTACCTCGGACGCTATTGAGGAGCTAGTTACAAATGTGGCGCAAAATCTGGACTGTAGAAAAAGATGTATTGGTGCGTTCCTTGATTTAAGTAAGGCTTTTGATACGATATCAATTCCTCTGCTGATTCGCAAATTAGAGTCTATAGGCATTAGAGGTGTACCCCTGGATCTCCTCGAAGATTACCTCACTAATAGGACGCAAACACTGAAAATTGGAAATGGTTATAGTTCTAAGCTAAAAGTTAATTTCGGTGTTCCACAGGGATCTGTGCTGGGGCCTACATTGTTTCTCATTTATATAAACAGTCTATGCAACATTCAAATACCCAATATGAAAATAATTACTTTTGCTGATGATACTGTCATTTTATTTCAACACTCGTCATGGACGCAAGTTAAGGCAGTGGCTGAGACGGGAATCCAAATCATTACCAACTGGCTTGACTGCAATCTATTAACTCTAAATCTTAACAAAACAAAATATATCACTTTTAGTATAAGAAAGAATTTACAGCCTCCACCTACTTTCATACTGCAGGTACATACTGAAACATGTGCTAATACAGGCTGTTGCGACTGTTACACCTTATCTGCAGTAGAGAGTATAAAATATCTTGGGATTGAAATAGATCAGAATTTGAACTGGAAAAGACATATTACTAATCTCAGATCTAGAATACGTAAACTCATTCCCATTTTTAAAAATATTAGAAACTTAAGAGACCAGAAGACTAATAGGATGGTATACTTTACTTTATGTCAGTCTATAGCTACTTATGGGATTGCGGCTTGGGGTGGTGCGCGTAAAAGTATCCTGATAAAAATTGAAAGAGCCCAGCGGTGCATTCTAAAAATAATTAATTTCAAACCGTTTAAGTACCCTACCTTAAAATTGTATAGGGAATTTGAAGTCCTCACTATTCGTCAACATTTCATTAAATACCTTATTTTGAAGCAACATCGTCGCCAAAGGCCTCCAAATAGATCCATGAGAAGAACACACGATATCTATGAGGTGCCCTCTTGTAAAACTGCGTTTGCTCAATGTTTTTCACACTTTCTCGGCCCGCTGCTTTATAATCGCATAAGTAAAGTTAAAAGTTTGACAAACATGACGAGGTTTGTGTGCAGGAGGGAACTGGAGAAGTACCTAAGCAGTTTAGACTACGAAGGGACAGAAAAAATTATGCAAGTATGTAAGTAAAGACACATTTCGTGATTGTTGTTTGTACGGGTGATTTAATTTTGATCCGAAATTATATGGGAGTATGTATAGTGAGTATTGTAAGCAAGCAAAATGGTGGACAAATATTTTATGTAAGCGCTTAAATATGTATGTATGCGATTATATATGTATGCGTATAGACAAATAGAACTGTGTATAAATAGTAGTGATATACATAGTAAAAATATGTGTGTATATATAGATATTTATTTAGTATACGTAGGTATGTGTAGGTGTATTTGCTTAAAAATGTATTATATTCACATAATACCTTTGTGGGTTACGAAATAATATCTGAGAAGAATTTACCTTGCCGTAACACAGTCTTTTGACTAGCACGGGAGGTAAAGACTATCGAAAAGAAAATAAATTATATATATATTTACTGTTCCTATAGCAATAAATAAAACCCTATCTAAATCTTGTTTAATAGTTATTGTAACATAATCTTTTTACACTCGAGTCATTTTATTTTTTTCTTTACTAATCACTGTTACTGTTTTTTTATGTTTTTGTTTTCTTTTTTTTTTTGTTTTTCCTTGTTATTGTGCTATTGGCACAACAAACTAAAGTATTTGTTAAGATGGATTAGTGTAATTTATTTACCACTATTGACGTATGCCATTAATTTACTTCATGTGCATGTTCGGAGTATAAATTTTTGCTACTTGTATATGGTAGGAATTCTGTATTCCGAATTTGTGTATCATGAATCTGAGATAATTCCGTGCACTAATCTATTTGGTACTTGTAAGTTGTCTAAGTATAGTCGATTTGTTCAGTGGAATACTTATGCGTCGTATCACGTAGTCATTTTATTTATGTCTCCGATATGTTTGGGTTTTACATGTGTCATTTTCTGTTCTTTTTCTTTTTAATAAATTATTATTATTATTATTATTATTATTATGAATAAGTAAGTAAAAAGAGGAGGTTATGGAACCTCCTCTTTTTACTTATTTAAGACGTTTTATTTAAGACGTTTTTGTTTTTTTCTTTCATATGTGGATTTGACACTTTTGTACATCGTAATGTAGATAGTTCACATCAACATTCTTTATTAGTCTAGATTGCTCCCTTAGTTGAGTCCTACGACACCCACGGGATGAATAGAGGTGCTGTGCTGACACACAAGATAGTTGTCTATCTGAAAAATACTTTCAATTTACATTCAATTAAACTTTTTGGAACTTGGAAATTCCAAGGGGTCATCACCTAATATATCATCAGATAATGTGATCATCAACAGCCTTTAATAGTCCACAGTTGGACATAGGCCTCTTCCTAGAAAGGAGATTTTAGCCTACTATACCACGCTAGCTAGACGGGTTGGTACAGTGTTTGTGTCAGGTTTTCATTCTCTTTGCAGTAGTGTCCTACGTAAGTTGCTCCCTTAGTCAGCTCTTGCGACACCTACTTTTCTCGAAATTCAGTTACCAAACCCTATAATAACTTATATTAAGTATTGTATTTTATAAGTGAAATTGCGGTTTTATTAACAGTTCATACTTCAATTAGTTAGGTAACCTTTGGTCACGCATATAATTATGATAGCGGAGATTGTTGCTTCAACGTGATAACTGATTACGTACTTTAAATAAAACCTATATTTTTATGATTCAATTACAAATGTAAAGTTTTCAGTTTTTTCCTTGTACTATAAAACTAATTTACATTCTAAATTTCATAGTTCTAGGTCAACGGAAAGTACCCTATAAAGTTTGATTCCCTTGAGAGTGTCCAAATATGCGTTTTTTTGCGGCATAAAGGACCGTATGTTTTGTAACGTTAACTTGAAGTTTGATTTTTTACAGCTTCACTGTAGACCTGAGTAAATGGTCTTAATTTCAACTCGATACCTCCATGCATTCCTGAGAAGAAGGGTTTTGAGAGACAGACAGGCGGTCAAGAAAGTGATCCTATAAGGGTTCCGTTTTGGGGTACGGAATCCTAAATATCAGAATTCCTTTTTTTTGTATATGGAGATAGAACTATTTTATAACTATGAACTTTAGTTGCCGACTAAAGAAAAATCTGTGATAATAATGATATTTTTATAATACTATTTAAAATAAAATGAAGCCGGCAAAAGTACATGTCATTCCAACACGGAATCACAATCTTGATGTGTGGTAGAAATATCACACAATAGATGCCTACGAGGCTATCGCTATCGAATTCACTTCAAAGGACAGAGCGAAAGAATCAAGTCGATTGGAAATAATCTTCATTTTCAGAGAGGAAATGCGACTTGTCATGATGTTATCTGAAGAGGCGGCATTCATTTTGCAATAGATATATTGTAGGAACATTCGGTTTATACTTTTATGTGGTTTATTATTTATCAGTATATTAAAATTGATGGTTTCAGACAACATAGTATAAGTAAATATTCACCCACATCACAAGACTTTTTAAGCAAACTAACTATCAGTTTCTAGGATATTAATTATTTTTTCGGAAATGATGTGCGGAATCGACAAATGAAATCCATTAAAACTGTCTGTCTGGACGATGTTTTGCATTGAGAAAATTGCATTTTCGAATTGACGGCGACAAGAAGGTGGCGCTGAGATGTTTACAAATACATTTAAAATCTTTTCTTTGAAGTTCGTTCCTTGGCATTGCTATTGACATTATGACGATGCACTTTGAACCTTTATTGTATTATTTATAAATTGCACTTTATTCAAGGTAATTATAGAATTTGATCCTCAACTGAACAATGATTTGAAATTTAGAAATAAAAACAAAGAGTTCCTTGTTTCGCTCATTTAGAGAATCGGTGGTTCATAGAGGTATTACTATAAATGGTAATATTTATGTAGTCAGAACCTACTTTCTTAAAAAAGAAACAAAAACTAATTGAAGAAAAACAGAAGAGAAGATTATATAATTTAAATTTGACGTGAAAAAAATACACATTTAGTTTGGATAAATCAAAATTTTTGTTGATGTTATAATAAAAAAACAACAAAAAATCTTTAGAATAATAAGTAAAATAACAAACGCCATAAAAATGGAGTGTTGTTTCACAGATTTCAAGAAATGTGATGATGGCTTTTGTGTAAGTCCTGCATTTGCTGCAGTTGCCCCTGATTGTTGTGAACCGGCAGAATGCTATGAGGAAAAACCAGTATTATATTGCTGTGAAAAGAAACCCCCAAAGGTTGTGTATTGCTGTCAGAATAAAGAGGTAGTCTATAATTGTAATAAGAAGCCCCCAGGGGCAGCGCATCATTCAGAAAAGAAGCCTACAAAAGTAGTTTATTGCTGTGAAAAGGAACCTCCAAAAGTTGTATACTACTGTGAAAAGCCTGCTACACCACCATCACCACCACCAAAACATTGCTGCGAGGAAAGTTGTAGGCCAGTGAAGACTAAATACATTATGCCTTGCTACAGATACGAGGATGGACGAATAGTAAGTGTTCAAGTAAACTAACTAGGATTCCCTATTTGACTCAATGAAATCCGCACTGAAACCAACTTCAGAACAATTTGTTATAAGATTCTTAATTTTTTGGAAATATATTTAGATTTGAGATATTGGTCACTTTTTCTTGGATCCCATTGTTTTGTTGTTAGTTTCAGGAACGGTATGTTCCGACCCGTCATGGTACACTCCCCAGAACAGCGTACAGTCGAAATGGACTGCAGGATCAAATTTACGGCTATCGAGGTGCTGTCCGATATCTGTGTACGGGGTTTGACCCAAATTATGGACAGTGTGTTCATACAGTAGTTGAGCCATTACGCACTGTATACTCAAAAGTGACAAAAGAGGTTTATCCTGTCAAAAAAAGAAAAGACAAAAAAAATACCTGCTAAAAAGTGTGGCAGTAGTTCGTGAAAGTGTTGATTTATAAGGCAAACTACAAACAACGAACGTAACAGGTAAATCTACTGCCGTCTTCAGCGCTTAGGCGTAACGGACTTCAAGATCAACAGTTTTTAGAGTGCGGCGCCATTTCTTACATTCGCAAGAGTTGGCCTGACGCTATTTGGAGCTACCACCCATTCGCTATACCCGTTAAGCCTACCAAGAAAGTAGCGGCTGTAATTAAGAAATGCTGAAGTATGGTGCGTAGATTACTGCCTTTATATAATGTACGTTATAGCTTCAGAAGATGGAAAGGTATATTTTTACCCTAATAGGAAGCTTTTAATGACTGAACTGCATACTGCTAAAACTCTACATCTTTTGAGTATTAAAGTACGGGGAAATTCGCGATGCCTGCTTATCGAAACACAACTAAATAGATTATCTGCTTCATTGCAGGTTGAGAAGCTACCCGTAACAGCATTTAAACGCAATGGAATGCAGGACCAAGAGCACTCAAAGCTCCTGGGCACAGTGAATTTCCTCGTACGTTCTCCTCGTGATGTATCCATCGAATGTCCCGATGTGTGTAGTCACAATATCAAAGTAGGCGATCCTGCGAAAGTAGCATGCTACGTGAAAAAACAACCCATCAAAGTGCAACTTGAAGACATACTGGACCATTGATAAATTTACCTCAAGAAGCTGACGTTTCAAATTTGTTGCCGTGACGAAAAGTATTACGAATCTGTGGAACTCACGTAAGCATTCTTTTTATGTATTATAGGAGCCGTCAAAGTTTTGTGACCAGATGTTTCTATGACTACTTCCAAGAGAACTGAACATGAAGATGTTAATTCTTGTTCAGTCGTTAACTGTTCAGGCTTTCAGAAATTATTAAATATGTTTTCTATTGTTATAGAATCAACCGACGGTGCTGATGCGTCGCGCTTGTGAGGTGGCATGCGGGCGCCGTAAGCCTTTTGTCGCATCTTCGTATCACGTAGACGCCGACCACGAAGAACGGCGGTACCATTCAGAAGATGGAAAGGTAAATTTTGAATTTACAATATTTGTTTTAAATAATTTGACAAACAGTTTATAACAGTTTGTTGCCCACGTGACTACCACCCCTATTACCAGTAGTAACAGAACTATTTGAAATTCTATCGTACTGCTGAACTAATAATTACAACTTATTAGGCACTGCACTTAGCATTCACTGACATGTCAGCCTCCGATTCAATTCCTATTTTGCATAGATATTTGATGACCTGACCTGATTTTGGCCTAGTAAGTGTCTACTATCGCCATTCAAATACTCAACACAAGTGTTTTACCACCCTGTGAGCGCAGGGAGTTTTAGCTTTCGGATATACTTCTGTGAAAAACAACGAAGGAATTGCTTAACAGAATGTTTCTATGAGGCCGTGGTATCCTTGCCGGAGCATGGCTTTCTAGGCTTAAATGCATATATTCTCTCATTTAGAAGGAGGGATCATGAGTCAAGAAAGTACTATGGCCTTAATTATGGTTCAGTATTTGATCTCACCTGTGCAACTTGCTACTGTTACCACCTTATATCAGAACAAGAGAATATCCTCAGTAGCCTTGTTCATATCTAATATTGACGAGATTTGTACAAGTGCAAAAAGAACTGCTAGTCTGTTGGAAAATATATATTACTTGAATATTCAAATATTCCCTAATCTTAAGCTACCATTTCAGCTATAAGATACTTTTCTAGGAATACTTATATTTGTTAGCAAAATGAATTTGGAACAGTGGATTGAATATAAGAATAATAGTCACTATGTTTAATATTATGCTCTTTCAATAAACAATTTCTTCCGTTGACTTCCACTGAACTCGGTGATATTTTATGAAAAATTAATATTCAGTAGCTGGATGAAAACTCGGCACCTGAATTGATTCCCACGCAATATCCTTTAAAAGCTGAAGCGAAAGCAAAAAGCTGAATAAATGCCATCGGTGACGCTGAGAAGAAATTCAATTTCACTACAAACCAAGTTCAGTGCTAGAATAATCCGACATGGACCACAAGCAAATAATGAGATTATATTTTCAGCCCAAAAAGAAATGGTGACAAAGATTAAATTGACAAAATGACATTTAAAAATATTGAACTACAAATATATCGGTGTATTGTACTTCGTTGTAGTGTTTAAGAGCAGGAATGTAGCGAAGTGGGATGAAAAAGGTAAGGGTGAGGAGAATAAAAATCATAACCGTGGAAAAGCTATGCTTCTTCAGAAATAGACAAGACTCACACTCCTCCGGGAGTGATACCGCAGCCTCACAGAAAACCGGAATTCTTTCGTTCCTTTTCACCGACTGAGTCCCCCCCTAATTTCAGGGCAGCAATGCACTTGTGACCTTAAGTTGCAGATGTCCATGGACAGCAGTGTGGTAATAACACTTGAGTAAGAAATTAATACAGTGCTAATGGTTAACTGCAGCTTTCTGCAGTGCTAACGAATTCCCCCTCGTGAGTTTCACGAGTTTCAGATTTCTAAATAAAGTATGTCAATTTATTGCTAGCTATGAAAAACTTTACGCTGTTTGATGATAGAACTGTAATTACTCGTATATGATTGTCTTATTTTAACTCTTAGTATAAGCTAGTATGACAAACTATGGAACTAAAATGAACAGAATTAAAGGTAAAAAGGTTCTGGAATACAAATCAATATCTAAACTTGTCAACCTCGATAGCAAAGTGTAGGGGCCAAATTTAGCAGTAAATTAGAATTTTAATTCAATTGCTACACTATTTACGAACAATTTACGTGAGATTAGATGTGGTTCCGAAATACGTCGTTCGGTGTGATTTTGACATCAGTCGTACCGTCCACTGGACCACAATGTTTATTCGGAGAGCGCGATATGGGTTCAGAAGGGGATTTATTTTCGACTGGGGCTCAAGATATGACTCTTAGTAATTGGACCCTGTAATCCGAAGGCTAACAAATTCAGACCGCTTTTATACACGAGAATGCGCTGAAATGACCGCCAAGTAAACACTTTATTGTTAGACATACTTGACAGTTTAATTAAAGTTAGATCTCTCTTCTTGATGGTTCCGTAATCCGCGGCGGTAAGCAAGCTCAAGCGTAATCTCACAACTGAATATTCAACGCTTAGTTTACACATTTACCTGGGCCATTTGGTACCTTTAAACGCGAAAAAGAAAGTTAAAACTCGTAACTGAATTTAAACTTTTAACTCTCCTCCGTCTAAGCTCAGTAATTAACAGAAAGCGTAGTTATTATCCGAAACACGAAAAGTTCCTGGATAGGAATTTGGACTTACGATTCTTGCTTTTTTACCTGCAAAGTTAATTAATTTACAGGATTCCAGTTGAGAAACTTATCTGCTTATGCAAATAAGGGGCGCTGGGTCCGGCGTACAGATTTAATAAATCGTATTTTCTTTATAATTACTCAGCCTGTCTTAATTTTGTTTTTATTTTGTTTGATGCAGGGTAACTTATGCTTCCACTACGAAAGAAAACAGCCTGAATATAATTGTTGTGTGCCCAATGTTTGTTGCGACCCTGTCTGCGTTCCTACCAGTCGATGTCATACCATGTGCAGGCATCATAGACATTTCGTGTCATGTTTGCCTGCAAATCCCTGCAGCGCTCCCAACTGCTGCTACTACTATGGTGTATAATGTGTCTTATCAGTATGTAAATTGCACGTGCTGTTTTTTGTAACCTAAACAATTTGGCGGCTATATTAATGTTTTTCAAGACTTTGCTGTTTTATTTTATTTTGGTGTAAATTGTCCCTATACAAGTATGTAGGTACACATTAAAAATGGTGTATTTGATGTACAAGGTGTTTAGAAAAGTGTAGTAATATTTTAGGTATCGTAACATGCAGAAAATACGTCTCGTGGTAATGGTGTAACAAAAATGCTCGTTTTATTTCAGTTATTATTAAAGTTCGTGTGGTCACGGATTAAGAATTGGAGTGGCACCACCCCTTTTTATCCCATGGGTGTCGTAAGGAACCGACTTAAAGTAAACTACGCAGAACAACATCGCTGCAAAGAGAAGGAAAACTTTAAACAAACCCTATACCAACCCGCCTGGCCAGTGTGGTATAATAGGCCAAATCTCCTTTCTAAGGAGAGGCCTAAGTCCAGCAGTAGACAATCAAAGGCTGTAGATTATGATGATGATGAAAATTAGTAAAGTTGTAAGAGAATGTTTCTGGCTAAAACTAGACATCATTATACATATTTCGTATTAAATACATATGATTTCAAGATGTCAGTCTACAATCAATTTTCAAGATTTTTCAATTCAAAATTCAAATTTCAATGCCATTTATAGTTTTCTTAGTTCTAACCGTCTAAGTCTATTCGACCGTCCGCGACTTAGTACTGAAATAATTATTATTTTACATGGGTATTTGGTTTATCAATTAAAATATTATTTTTCCCAAGTTTTATTATGCCACAATTAAATATTGGTACAATAAAACCTGAGAAAATAATGACATAGTATATTTACATGTAAAATTAGCAATTTCCCCTTGAATCCCATGGCTCAATCCCCTGGCTCTATCAATCCTCCTGAAATATTTTAATAATAACCTCAAACATGTCACACGGCTGTCTGATCTCAAACTAGGCAGAGCCTGTACTATGGTAATCAGACTGCTGATAGACAAACTTATAAGACACAGAACAAACGATAGTGCACATCAAACGTTTTTTTGTCCTGGGTAGGAATCGAACCCACGACCTCCGACTTAGCAGTCAGGCTTACTTACCACTAGATCAACAGACGTCGATCAAATGGAGGTTGATGGGCCATATGTATTTTTCCTAAGGAGAGGCCTATGTCCAGCAGTGGACTAGTAAAGGCTGTTGATGATGATGATGATGTATTTTTCCTATCTTGATTCATTGTACCCTCTACGATGTCTGATCGCTACCACCACGCGGACGAAGTCACGGGCACTAGCTAGGCCAACATGTCTAAATGATCAAAGTTATTTCTGTTGTGTCAATCGAGGTAGGTAATTAAAAAAAAGACGTGTGGCACTCGAGGACTGCCGCGGTAAAGCTATTGCAGCATTTTGTATCAACTTATGCAATTGTAATTATTTATTTATTTTATTTATGCAGTATTTCTTTTTCTTTGATATTAATTCAAGTTACACTTTTTGAGCGTGGTGACCGATAAGAAAACAATTTTTTTTCTTTTATTAAATAAAAATATTGAAGCATATATTAAAATTTGTTTTTAAATAAATAAATAAAAAATAATATTATTAAATCAAATTACATATCCATGTAAGATTTTTCTGCATTATGTTGACAAAATTTCCTTTGACGTTCAGCATTTGATTTTGGTACTGTTTTTTGTTTTGTTTTTAGCGTTACGGAATTTCTGGATTCGGTCCCCGCGCTCAAGGCCCTCGATAGAAGCTATGCAATAGCTTAAAAAATTGACGGTGTATCAAATAATTGAAAAGGTGCATTTTGACAGTTGCTGGATTTTTTTTTTTACGGGACTAATCCCACCCACACGCCCACCGCTGTAACTCCTGTACACCAGGATCCACAGCAGTGACCCTCGAACACACCGAGTTATGACACTCGGGAAGTCCCAGGAAGAAATTAAACTGTCTTGGAACCCGCAACGAAATTAATCAGAAGAAAATTGGAGGAGTTGGAAATACAGTAAGTCCACTTCCCTCCTTAGCAAAGCGGGAGACAAAATGAAGTAAAAAGGGCATACACCCTTTTAAACAGGGAAGCACCATGGCCACAAATATTACGGGTCCTACGTGAGCTATGTTTGATTTCTATAATATGTATGGCAGAATCGCCTAAACGCACGGAAATTCACCCTAGTTGACACAAGATCCCCATAGTATACCGCCCCAGATGTCACCTGCAAGCTATTCAACATTATATTACGTTCATTATACCAAAGACTACATTCCCAGAGGATATGATGAGCAGACTGTTCATAGTGAGAGTTAGGTGTTGAGCATTGACACAATGGTGACTCGACTAATTTAAATGAATAAAGCTTGCTCTTAAAGTTACCATGACCCGTAAGAAATTGAGCGACACAGTGATCCACCTCAAGCCATATCCTCGACAACCGTTCGCGAACAGATGGAAAGAATTGGTAAAGATGGCGCCCCTTGGATGATTCATCCCAGCGTTGTTGCCATTCGTCTATGAGGTCGTTATAGACATCGGGCTGCTGTTGAAGCAATCTTGTAATTTTACCGCGATCCCGCGCGCCCAAAAAATCGCATTCCATGTTTTGTTGTCTTGAATAGTACATGGCTGCACGTCTCGGCACCTCGAGATCGACCGGAAGCACACCCGCCAACACCGGCAAAGCCTCAGTGCTAACCGTCCTATATGCCTTACACAAGAATATCAGTGCAAGTCGTTGGCCTTGTAACAGTTTGCGACGGACAGCGCCTACGGTCGCCCTATCGGCCCATACAGGTGCACCATAGCACATAGAACCTAAATAAGTAGCTCCGTATATGATCTTTAATGTATTAAATGATAGACCCCATGTCGCAGTTGATATCCTTGTCAATGCACAGAAACTCTTTTTAGACTTTTCATTAACTATTTTAATATGTTCGATAAATGAAAAGTTTCTTTCTAAAACTAATCCTAGATAACACACTGCGGTTTTATTTTTTACAGTAACATTGTCAAATCTAATGCTCGGCGGTGATTTGAGGTTACCTTTTAAAAGTAGCTGGAAGGTTTTGTTGGGTGCAAAAGTTAAGCGATTACGTTCACCCCATTGAGATATCAAGTTCAAACATCTATTGGCTAATCTCTCAAGCCCCGCCCTAGTATCAGATTCCACCAGTAATAAGCCGTCATCAGCATACGCGTTCAGAGTACATCCGGATGGTATTGGTATTGCAAGAAAATCGTCGAAGCCGATATTCCACAAGTATGGACCTAGCACCGATCCCTGAGGACATCCCATTGTAAGCGCCTTCGACACAGAATGATGACCAATTCTTAGTTTAGTTGTACCTTGTGAAAAGTACGAAGAGATAAGGGAATAAATATTTTTAAAGCACCCCCGTGATTTTAATTTCAGCAACAGCATGGGCCACCATGCGTTGTCGAAGGCGCCAGATATATCTAAGAAAATAGCCAGTACGTATTGAAATTTTGACCCTGTGACAAACTTTCTAACCGATATAACAGCGTCAGTTGTCGATTTACCCAACGTAAATCCAAATTGTCTATCATGAAATTTGACTCCACCTGGCAGAAGCCGGGGCACTACAAGACGTTCTAAAAGCTTTCCCAACGATGGTAACAATGTGATTGGTCGGTAGGATTTAGGATCATCCGGTGGCTTGTCGCCACTTTTTGGTATTATACGAATATTACCGCAACGCCAAATACGAGGAAATATTCCTTCAGCAATGCAACGTTTAAAGACAGTGAAAATCGTGTCACCCGAAAGTTTACAAGCTTCTTTTATCATTTTGTTAGATATTTTATCATCGCCCGAAGCCTTGTTTAGCGGCAAGGATCTAATGATACCGAGAAATTCGTCTGAAGATGGTAAATCAGACATTGGAGATAGTGGTGGTTTGATGGCCCACTGCCTGATCTGTCGGTGATGATCAGTGTCGTTTTCCGGTCGATCGTCAGGTACGAGTGAGTGTAAAAAATATTCTGATGTTTGTTCTACTTCTGTGGTATATCTGTTATTAATTTTGATGTTCTGTATGTATGCAAGGTCGATTGATCTATTTGCCTTAAATTCGTGATACAAAGGTGACCACGGGCCCTCTCTATCGAGTTTATCAACAAGTTTCTGAATTAAGTTTCTCTTGGATTTTTCCACAGCAGCTCTGTAGTGGGACCTGGCAACTCTAAGAGCAATGAGAGCATTGTTGTACAAATCTCCTGTTACGTTACGTTTTTTAATAGTGTTTAATTTTCTACGAGCTTTCCGGTAGCTTCTACGTAGTTCGGCTAATCTATCATTCCACCAATCACATCTACGAGTGTTAGTGATAGATCCGCGACCAATAGTTACATCAGCGCAGTATGTAAAAGTTTCTGATAGTATTTCTGCGCTTTCCTCAGCTGATAAACTACTGCGACTGAAGTCTTTGGTATGAGTTGCAAAGAGTGAACCAAACAAAGCCCAGTTCGCACCTTTAGTTTTATATCTAAAATTATAGAGAGCCTTTTGTGGATCCTGTGCAACCCTTGGTATGAATTCGTACACGATCAAGCGGTGATCACTACAGGATGCGTCCGGAAGGACACGCCATCTGGATATCGAGTCGTCGCCGCGCGTAAGCGTCACGTCAATAGAAGACTCACCCATTGGGTTGCAAAAAGTTGGTGGTGCATCGGGGGTATTGTGAATAATAAGATTCATTTCCGCAATGAAATCTTCAACCGCACAACGTCGAACCGTGTCGGTTGAACGCAACTTGCAATACCATAATGAAGATGACGCATTGACATCAGCGCCAATGATAATTTTATGTCCCACGAGGAACTGCAAGACGTAACGTAAGTGATGTAAGTGAGGATCAATAGGATGTGAATATTGAAAATAGCAGCTCACTACGTAAACCTTACAGGTAGAGGATGAGATCTCAGCAACGGCGCAGTGTGACGTCATAAGATTACGCAAGGATGTTACCGTAAAATTAGAACTTGCAACATATATCCCAGCCTGCAAACGGCAGTCAAGCTGTACTACATTACGACGCAAGTGAGCGCTCTGATATTGTTCTTGTAAAAGGACAATGTCTAACTTTTGTTCTAAAATTAAACGGTCTAATTCTGATGTAGCTATTTTATCGTTATGAAGATTTAACTGGCCTATCGAAATATTATTCATTACTTAGTAAGTTACTCTTTAAACTTTTTTTTTTTTTTTTTTTAAACTAAGTTAAACTATTCAGTAATTGGTATTTAATATTAGCTGTTCCAGTTTTAATTTGTATGTGGCACAGTCGTATGAGCCGCATCGATGGTCAGATGGTTTTTTGAACCGCTTACACTGTGCGCATGTGGGCTTAAAATCTGGTGTGTCTTTATCTGGACAAGCTCGCGTTTCGTGTGCGGCGGCGCAATTAGCACAAGTAGGGGTTTTAATGGTGCAAAACTTTTGTACATGACCGAATTGCTGACAATTTAAGCAACGAACTACTTCTATATCGTCTATGAATCTACATGTGGCCCAGTCTATATAAAGTTTATCTTTTGTGTTGGCTAGATGTTTCCGAACTGCTGCCTCTAATTCTAAGCCTACCCATTGACGCCCATTTTCTAATTTACGATGCCTAACAATTTTGGTTGACTTAATAAAATCGTTCTCACTTAATTTTAATTCGTCCTTGATATTCTGACGGTATAAGGCTGTTAGGAAGGCACGATCTTCCATAGAACCGGGTACGTCTTTTACAATTATACGGGGCCTACGGCCTTTCGGGTTTTCTAAGCGCAACCCTACTGATTTAATGGCGTCCACAGATTCCAGTTTCTTAAGCTGCCGTTCGTTAGCTACACGTAACACGACGCCTGCCTTAGAGGTTTTTTTAACGCCTACAATTTGAAATCCCTCATCGCTCGGTTTAATAGCCTTCATGAGAGCTTGTTTTGTTGCTGACGAGGTCGCATAGTCCGCTAAGCGTTCCGTAGTGGGATAGGCAATGACACAAGGCCTAGGAACGCGCGCTTCAGTAGGTACCGGGCACGGAGCAGATTTAGGTGGTAATCGAAGCTTAAGTTTGTCCGCGTACGTTAAACTCGTTTGTTGAGTTGCGATACCCTCCATTTGTCGCTCAAAATTCGCTAACTTCGTTTCGTTGCTAGAGGATTTTATTGCTAACAAAGATACGATACCGGTAATTCGTTGAGTAATATCCATAATCGCCGTTTTATTACCTATATTCATCCGAGATCCCTGATCATTAACTAATTCATTAATTTTTGCCAAATAATCAGTGGCCTGTGATACTAAGTCACAGTAGTTGTACTCCCCACAGTTATCACGACCGGTAGGAGACGAAACATTATCACTTAAGTCCGAATTAATAACGCGCCTACGGCTACTGTTTTTCGGCGAGAAACCCGTAGGTGACATTTCGATAAATGTCCTTTTCCCGGTTGGTGTTAGAAATTCACTTGTACCGCCAGGGTCCGGCAACTCGCTAACGACCGACATAGCCAAACAAAGACACACCAAACAACAATTTCAAAAGGAACAGGTTTAAAAATAAATAACACGCAGAGAAAAATCAATATAAACAAAGGATACCTCCTACCCACTTTTAGAAAGAAAATAAATTTACTCACCAATAGTCGTAATAAAATAATTCAGCACTATATTACTGTTTAAAAACAATAAAAACTTACTGACTTTCTTTAAAACACTATACACAACCTTTAGCCGCCCGCAAGCCGAAAACTAGTCGCAGAAAAAACAGAAAACAATATTTAAATTGTTAGCACATGAAATCACACGTTAGTCGCACGGTGCCGCGAAGGGAAGTTGCTGGGTTGTGGGTTTTTACAAAGCCATTGTAAGAATAATCGATTCAGATTACAAATGAGTTTAGGGTCACCAATATATAAGAAACATCGTTAACCATGTTGAATAGTAATTCTTGCTGCTAATTATTTCGTTTTTAGGTTTCCGTACCTCAAAAAGTAAAAAAGAACCCCTTATAAGATCACTCTCTTGTCCGTCTGTCCGTGCGTCACCACCAATTTTCTCAGAAACGGGTTTACCTAGCTAGTTGAAATTTTTACTAGATACTGATGTCTATAGTCCCTATTAGGTGTATAAAAATCAAGGTCCTGAGTCAACACGATAACAAGATATGGGCAAATTTCGCGAAGTACCCTGTAGGTTTTGTGTCGAAAACCTATATGGTAGTTCCCGTTGACCTTGAATCACCAAATTCGACATAAAGCAAGGCACAAATAAAGGAAAAATTCCAAAAAATAAAAAACAGTTGGAAATTCGGGTAAGTTTTGGTACTTGTAAGTTTTCGCGAAAATCTACGTAAAATCTGGGTAGGTACGGAACCCTCGGCGCACGAGTTAGACCTACACTTGACCGTTTTTTTAAAGTGAAAACTTCTTTAGGCGCGTTGGGCCTTTTTGAACAACTAACAAAATAATGTTGTTGAAAACAGCTGGCGGGGATACTCGCTCATTCTACACAGTCGCGCGACGTGTGATGCTGCAGTGGCCACCGTTGATGGAATACGGCTCACAAACGTTCTTTTTTTAATTTTACGATTTATTTATAAAAAACTGTAAATAACATTATCATTGTCAAAAGACACATGATTCCTTAGAGGCGCAAAATTTATAAATATGTACTATTAAAACATTTTGAAATAAAAAGTTACGATTTATTTTATTTACTGTACGCACTCATAGATGTTTTAGTTAAAAATTAAAAACTTTAATTCTTACTTAAATAATTCTTAAAAAGAGATATGAATTTAGTTGTTCAGTTCCGTTTACTTATACGAAAACCATAAAATTATAGGGAAAAGAATGAATTAATACCTTTACTATTTAAATAAAACGAAAACGACCTTGGGTTAGCAAGTCCCCTTTTTTTTCTGAAATCCCCTCGGATACCACTTACCGGTGGCAATGTCGGACTCGAACCGACAAAGCGCTCGACGCCACCCCGGCCTGCCGCACCTGCCGGACCCGGAGAGTTCTAAACCTCTGCCGGTCCCGCTCCGCCATCTCCTTCGCAATCATAACTTGCTCGCAGAAGGAGACGGCAGTCCACGGTCCGACCATCGCAGTGGTGGCACTCAGGCGTTGGCTCCTTGCGGATTAGACACAGGTGATCCCCGAAACATCCTTTCCCAGTGATCACCTGCGTCAGGCGGTATGAGAGGGTCCCGTGATGCCTCTCGAGCCAATCCTCCATAACGGGTCTTACCGTCGCGATGACGGCGTGCCCGGGTTAGCAAGTTCCCTGATAACATCATCATGATAATATGCGACTTGTAATATAAATCATTAATCTTCACCTATTCAATACCTGCTCAAAAAGTAACCACAATAAAATTTAAAAAAATAGTCATAGAACGTAACTGTTTCAGGACATTTTCGAGAAATAAAGAATCACGCTATTGTTTAAATTATTTGTAGAAATTTAAAGTGAAATATGTCCCATTACATGCATTCAACTCAGTAGTATAAATTTTTACTTATTTAAAAATGATTACATGAATTAGAAATGCTTTATGTTTCGTACAAATCGTGCAAAGTTGCGTTCTCTAGTCACAGAACGTCAATCACAGACAGACAGGTGATCAAAGTGCAGTTCTTAGATTATTTTTACCCGACTGCCAAGGAAGGGTGATGTTTTTCGCGCGTATCTTGCATGCATGTAATATTCTGTATTACCTCATATCTTCCAAACTGCTGCACGGATTTATTTAATTAACATATCGTTAGTTTTGTCTTGGTAACCCAAATGTTATTAGATAGGTGGCGCCTAAGAAAAACCAACATGACGACTGTGAGACGTCACGACGTATTTTATATATGTATATGATTTTTTGTTATGTTATGATGAGGATTTTGTAATGGAAATGGTATTTCATGACCCTATTTTAATTAGTTCATTACTTTTAAATGATCTTCTTGCAGTCGGGTTTTTTTAAATTATGTAAACTTGTCACTGTAAGTACCAAATAGTAGCAAAAGGGTAGTGCATTGTAGTAGGTATTTTTAAACATCGAATATATCGGGTTCTGATGGTTACCACGCCACCTAAGTAGTAGGTACTCACTATTAGATTAGCACACACACCCGAATGAAACAACATTTTTTTTGTGTCCATATATTTATTTCCCAATGCGCAGTTATTTGAAGTTATATGTCAGCCAAAAACACGCTTCATCATGTGGAGTTTTCTGTTGGTGTAGAAACTAAATTCTATTCTCTAAAAACCTTCACCCATTGCACTTTACATTAATTGCATTTACGAACATCTGAAAACAATTTTAGCAAGAAAACATTATCAATTTAAAGATGTCGTCAACCTTAATGACAATAAAATACCCGATAAAAACCTTTGCTTTTTTATAGAAATTGTTATATATATTGCTTAATTTTTTAGTAACTACAAGCCAATTATTAACTTATTAACTTTTATATATTCTGTAAATCTTGTCATAAATGGCTATTTTCCACTCTCAGTTGTAAGTTACACTGTGTAAGTTTTAAGACGCAATAAACCAAGAAAATCTAATTACACAAAATTTTTAAGTTGGTCAAAGAAAAGTAAGTAGAGTAAAGCTTTTTCCTACTTAAATTTCAATCAAACGTAGCCGTAAGATGTGAAATTAATCGGAATGAAATCCCTATATTCCACCGAGTTACGGTTACTCGTCATGTGATACACCTATTTTTAAAGGTCACTTACGATTTGTTAGCGTAATAGAACTCGGTTGTTAATTCTTAAAAGTACCCGCAACATGTATGTAAGAGTATAGTTAACTGGAAAATTAATATTCACCGTCAAGTAGGACAAGAGCCAAGGCAAGGCCTGAAAAACTGTCATTTTAACGATTTTTCTTGCTGACTACACTATTTATTTATTGTGAATATTTGATACTCCTCAAGACATTTATATATTTATATATTCCAGACAATATGCAAGGTTTATTTATGGTTACAGTTTAAGTACGTTTAAGGTTTATTAATAGGTTTCAATTAAAAACATGTTATATATTATATAGGAACACGAAGACTAAATACTCATAGACTTATGCTTGCAAATATTTGCAAATACATTTACTTTTTGGAATTATATTATATAATAGAAATGCATTTCTGTAACCCAAAAAGTAGGAGGAGGAGTCTAATCCAAACCCATAAAAACCTTGTGAATTACTAGCATCCAGTTTGAGTGTCAAGAAAACCGCCGACATATTTTATGCAACATTTTACATGTTAATATAAAAATACCAAAACACTACTGGACTACTACCGCCCGCAACTTTCCGCCATCGTTCCACACGGTAAAAAAATTATCCCCACTACTTGGACAATTGGCACTCCACTACTGTGCGCTTTTCGAGACACTTTTGCATTGCACAACCAGTCCGACCGGACCGATACGACCTTCAAACCTTTAAGAAAAGAACGTACTCCTTCCTAAATGGCTAGCAACGCGTTTGTGACGCCTAAATTGTAGAACTTAATGTTAAAGCAGAGATTATTTACTTTAATGGTCAATGATATCAATAATCGAATTGCTGTTAATCTGCGAATATAAAATACTTGCAATTTCAAACTTAATCAATCTGTTTATTCGAGTATGATGTATTTCGTAATTACTTTGGATTTTATAATTACAATGAAACCCATATGTAAAACAATAGAGATAAATTACATAATTCAGCATTTTAATTAAAGATTTCATATTTTTTTAGATTCCACATTAAATTTGGCTCAAGTATATAAAAATCATTTTTTCTTAGGAGACTATCAGTCATAAACCCAATCCCAAGATACGATCGCGTTTATGACTGATACATCAAGTAATTTCAATACTTCGACCACAGAACACAAAACCTAAAAGACACTTCCAATTGACCTAAAACTACGAAATTTTAATGAGAAATAAGAAATTAAAGAAAAATTAAGCTAAAAACAAACAGTTGTTTCCTGTTGTTATATCACAAAAAAATGTTTTTTAAAATGTTATATGTAGGTATGCATGAAAGAGGATTTTGAAAATAGCAAGTTTAAGTTAGGGTAAGTTTCAATCCAACTTGAAAAGTTCGTCCATTACTATGCTATCATATGTGATAACATAGTGAGGACGAACTATTATATCAAAATTTATACGGTGTCGAGTGGTTTTTTGTGAATTGATGGGCTAATGAACATAAACGACGGGCGGGACGGGCGGCACGGGAAAAATTGTTTTATTAGTCTCTCATTATTCAGATCTGCCGACTAATTATCTTTTCGCTAGTCAAGTATAATTCATTAAACTTTATGCTCCGTAGAACATATGAGATTTTTCAGATTTCTCTTTTCATACATAGTAAATTCGTCCCAAAAAGACTGAACAAAAATCAACAGGAAGTAATATAAATTACTTATTCATTCTTAACTTTTACAACTTCCAATTACTTTTTAAGTGTCGTCTCACGTAACAAATGAAGTTTGTTACAGACGTAACGATGTACGATCAATTTAATGTTATTACTTTGGTTCTGGCTTTAGGATGTAATAAGGCGTAACACAAATAATATTTTGTTTCAGACAACAAGTCATCCAAAATTCGATGCCCAATCAAATGGAAAAGGGAAGATCGTGGAGATACGTAATAAAACCGCAATAAACTAGCTACGTAGTGAAATAACACTTAAAGGATTTTAGAGTTTTTGTGCAATGTTGCGGGTAGGTCGAGTTTGCCGTAGTGAATTGTGTCAGTGTGTGTTGTGAGTGTGTACGTTTGTGTGTGTGCAAATGCGAAGACGACGCGGTTGGAGGGCGGCGGGTGAGGCGCGAGGGGCGAGGTGACTACTCGCGCGCATCATGCGGCCTTCGCTGCCGCTACTTCCGCTGCTGCTGCTGTTTGCTGCGTGCACTACCTTTGCCCAGATTGCATGGACGCCAATTTTTCTCGACGGCAGTAGTAAGTGTTAGAATTTGATGAAAGATATGTATTTCAATGTCCTTAAGTTTGCTACAGTTATTTAAAACACATATAACGTTTAAATAGTCAAAGTCCTAAGGTTTGCTACAGTGTCTTAAAATAAAATATATAAGAGAATGATTGAGCCATACGGTTTTTCAGTTCAGTTCTTCTAATAGAAAGTCATATAAAAAAAAATCATTTACATTACTTTCATTCGTTTAATTCCTGTGTAAGGGGTGAATAGTTCAGGCCAGGGTGGCCTGAACTGAGTGGCTTCGGGGGCAGGAAGGGACCATCGGGGTTCCAACACAGGAGAGAGTCTCTCTCTGTCTATAAGCCGAGGTAAGTCGGGGTGCCAGGGCTTTCCTTTCTAGGGTATACCTGGTTCACCGACTACCTGAAGATGGCGTGCGGTTTTTGTTCGGTTCGAGTCCGACATAACCATCACACTGGTGGGTGGTTTCCAAGGGGAGTTACGCACAGGAAAAAAAAATGGTAAATAGTTTTTTAGAATTCTATCAATATTTTTAGAAATGGTGTTATGATTTCATATTTCATATATTACAGAGAATAGATAAATGTTTGAAGAAACAAATTAAATGTAAATGTTTGTAAATAATTTATAAGTCAATCACCCATTATTTTGGTAACTACGCTAATAGTCTATAAAGGAATTTCAGTGTAAACTTATTTTTGAGTAAGGTTCTTTAGCTAGTATATTTGATGGTTGTTGTAGATAGTTTCATTCTCTGCGTAGGTCAGGTGGATCTGTGGACACAGTCGTCTTCAGGGTGCGCGTGTCCTGGCGATGGCGGCGATGACTGCGCCTGCTGTGTCCGCGACGGCGCCTGTCCCTGCGGTGGTGTTGCACCTACGCGCTGTGCGCAATGTGGTCTTGAACAGTACTGCGCAAATAGTGAGTTTTATTCTTTTATAAATTCGATATATTTATGCTATATACACTATAGTAGTATGTAGTATGTATACAGACATATATATCGAAAGTTACACTCAGTAGGTACAAGAGTTTTGCTGTTTTCTCTAACTAATTGAATTAAATTTAAATTATTTATAGTATTTAAACTACAAAGCATCTACTTTATTGTAAGCAGATACGAGCGCAATGGCACTTCTTGAAATCTTATTTATGAGAAGTACTGATTTAATCGTGTTGATTACTATAACATCCAGATAACTCAAATATTGCTCTTGCATTAAATTTCGCAACAACATTAAATTTGCTTATTCATATATCGAGACCCAATTCAACGTAATCTAATGGACCCTTGCAAAATAACATGTCAGTATAAATTTGGTTAAAAGCTTTTAGACACTGTAATGAACTGAAAATAATTAACGGGTGACAAACAAAGAATCCAAAATAGATCTAAGTGGCGTACAATGGGAGAGGCCTATGTCCAGCAGTGGACTGCGCTGGACCGATGATGATGATGAAACAAAGAAAACAAATGATTGCACATTTTCCTTATCTGGTTTTTTCTAAATTAAGATTCTTTTAATTATCCTTTTGATTATTAACGTCCGATAATGCTTAGGTATAAATATGTTTTAATGGGAGCCCTTTTTCCAATGTCACAATAGGGATATATGTATATATATATATATATCTTGTCAAACTTGTAACTTATACGAGTAATAAGGGTTTCATATTAATTCTGTATTTATAATCTTCTCCGAAGTAAATGCTTAAGCAGCTATATGTATGTCCTTTAGGCTATTATATTAACAACTGTTTACCGCAATTTCACGTCAAATCGGCGTTGATTTAAATAAAAGTAGTTAAGCCAACCTAACTTTGTTAAGTTACTTTGTTAAGTTACTTTGTTAAGTTCACATTAAATTATTTAAACTCTATCGTAGATTATCGAACTAAATACATTGTCACACAGAAATTTTAGTTCTGCAATGTTGTCGAAAACAATATGATACGATTGATCCTTTATTGCTTGTTTTAGAGTCGTCGCGGAAAATTCTAATCTCACTTGGGTTAGACCTTCAAATATACTTATGTACGACCATTGCAATCAGTATGTCCTTAGAAATATCTTTACGTGGAATGGGTGTTGTGTGAATTTCAAGCGTGCAGCCAGCTATATGTAACAACACTTTTGTATCAAGATTAAGATTGAACATTTGCCTTTTATTAATTAATTAAACAGATTTAATTACATTTTAAATTAAAATTTAAACTGACTTAATATAGGACTGCGGAAAACCTTAGTCCTATATTAAGTACGCTCGTAGGTAGGTAGGTACTCTTTAGTACATAATTAGGATACATGATGACATACACAAAAAAAAACAGTGATACAATAGGCGAACTTATCGCAGTCTGCGATCTATTCCACGCTACCTTTAGATGGACAATCATCATCATCATCATCAACAGCCTTTACTAGTCCACTACTGAACATAGGCCTCTCCTTAGAAATGAGGTTTTAGCCTACTACACCACGCTGGCAAAACTAGTTTAGGATTTGTTTAAAGTTTTCCTTCTCTTTGCAGCGACATTGTTCTGCGTAGTTTCCTTTCTAAGTCGGCTCCTTACGACACCCATTGGGATAAAAAGGGGTGGTGCCACTCCAATTCTTAATCCGTGACCACATGAACTTTAATAATAACTGAAATAAAACGAGCATTTTTGTTATGTAATTTGCACCATTACCACGAGACGTATTTTCTACATTGACATGTTACGATACCTAAAATATTACTACACTTTTCTAAACACCTTGTACATCAAATACACCATTTTGAATGTGTACCTACATACTTGTATAGGTACACATTAAATGTTGTAATTGTTGTCCTGCGTAGTTTATTCCCTTAGTCAGCTCTTACGACACCAACGAACAGGGGTATGTATAGGGGATGAATAGGGGTAGTGACACTGTATTCTTAATCCGTCACCACACGGATAATACTATATAGTAATATGTAGCGTGTGGTGCTCATTTACAATTGCCGTATATTAACTGATATTTACATACATATGCACGAATACACCTTTATACACTTACATACATATATAAATAAGCTGACCCGCGCAACTTCGTCTGCGTCTATCAATAGTAATAAATTTTCTCCGTTTTTGAAACATTCTTCATTAGTGCTCCGCTCCTATTGGTGTTAGCGTGATGATATATAGCCTATAGCCTTTCTCGATAAATGGGCTATCTAACACTGAAAGAATTTTTCAAATCGGACCAGTAGTTCCTGAGATTAGCGCGTTCAAACAAATAAACAAACAAACAAACAAACTCTTCAGCTTTATAATATTAGTATAGATGAATACATCCACATGCTGGTGCTGGTGCTGCATGGGTACCTATATGCGGCACGTACATAGTTATTACAGAGATAAATAGTGATCATTAACGAGTTCTTTAAAAGTATCCACTGACTTTGCCTGTCTTATAGCTTCCGGTAACGAATTCCAGAAGCGTGTTGCTTGCACCTTAAACGATATATCAGTAAAAGTCGTGGAGTGTGTTGGAATTTCTAAGGTAATTTTTTCCGATGATCTCAAGTATCGAGTATGTGTGTCATGAATAAATGCGAACGATTCTTTAAGTAGATAGGGTTTGTAGGATTAAAAAGAGCATTATACAGTAATAAGACGTTGTGAGTATTCCGGCGAAGCCGAATTGGGAGCCACTTGAGTTTTTTACGAAATTCGGAAACATGATCATATTTGCACAAGGCAAAAATAAATCGTGCACAGAATTTGTGATGTCTCTCAAGTTTATCAAATTAGTCCTCGTTCAGATCAAGACAGACATAGCTGACATCGGCATAGTCGAGAATGGGTAGAAGAATTGATTGTGCAAGTTCAATTTCAGTAGTAGTTAAAAGAAAATTGCATATTCTTCTTAAACAAGCTGCAGAGGCAAATATTTTACCGCCAACATTTTGTTATTGATCATTCCATGAGATGGTTTTGTCGATGTATATCCCTACATTTTTGACACTGTTGCTTATTGAAATTGTTACTCCTTGAAAAGACACTTGTGGTGGTGCTAGGCAGTTGACCTTTGCGATAAGTCTGGAGCTGCCGACTATTGGAACTTGCGTCTTACTAGGGTTTACTTTGAGCCCGTACATTGTTGTCCAACGACATATGTTGCTCAGATCTCTATTAATGGCATTAATAACTAGTAGCAGCTCATTAAGAGTACTTTGGTAATATACCTACGAATCGTCTGCGTATAGGTGGTAGGAAAAAAAGAGTTGATTAGTGATGGTATTAATGAATATTGAAAATAACAAAGGAGATAAAACGCCACCCTGTGGCAGACCAGCGGACGTATTTTCAGCTGCATCAGGGAAGCGCTCCGCTACCACGGAGTGCCGGAGTACCTGAGGCGGCTGGTGGCAGACTATCTTGAGGAGCGAACCGTCATGTACGGGGACCGAGATGGCGTCTTGAGACGAAGGGCCATGTCGTGCGGTGTTCCGCAGGGGTCTGTCCTAGGACCACTCCTGTGGAACATTGGATACGACTGGGCCCTACGAGGGCGTCTCCCCCCCGGGCTGGGTGTACTCTGCTACGCAGATGACACTTTAGTCACGGCCCGGGGGGCTAATTTCCAGGAGGCGGCGCGCCTGGCCGCCACGGGAGTTTCCCTGGTGGTCGGGCGCATTGAGGCGTTGGGTTTGCGGGTGGCCCTGGATAAGACGGAGGCGCTATTATTTCATGGGCCCCGTCGTGGTCCACCCGCCGGCGCCTCAATCGAGGTCGGCTCGGTCCTCGTACCGGTCCGGGCCCAGATGAGGTACCTGGGTCTGGTCCTAGACGGTAGGTGGCTCTTCGACGAGCACTTCCGACAGCTTGGTCCGAAGCTGGTGGACACTGCCTCCGCCCTAGGGCGACTTTGGCCCAATTTTGGCGGGGCCAGTGTTCCCACGAGGCGGCTGTACGCGGGGGTTGTCCGGTCCATGGCGCTTTATGGTGCACCGGTGTGGGTGGCGGCTCTGACCGCCCCGAATAGGGCGCGCCTCTGGCGCCCCCAGAGGATATTGGCGGTCAGAGCCATACGCGGATACCGCACGGTGTCCACCGAGGCGGCTTGCGCCTTGGCCGGAACACCCCCGTGGGATTTGAAGGCGGAGGTGCTCGCCGAAATTTATCGGCGAGTGGCTGACTTCCGGGCGGAGAGCGGATTTCGCCCTCCGCCCGAAGACGTGCGCGAGTGGCGCGAAGCCGCTCGCCGAGCCACCATGGTCAGATGGTCGCTCCGGTTGGAGACTCCACGCGCTGGCTTCGCCGCCGTGGAGGCTCTCCAGCCGGTCATCGCTGAGTGGGCAGGGCGGCAGCACGGGACCCTTTCCTTCCGGCTGACGCAGGTGCTTTCCGGGCACGGTTGCTTCGGAAAGTACCTGTACTCGGTCGCTAGGAGGGAATCGAGTCCCGCCTGCCACCACTGCGACTGCAGTGAGGATTCGGCCCAGCACACGCTGGCGGTTTGCCCCGCATGGGCGACGCAGCGCCGGGCCGTCACTGCAGTCATCGGAGCAGATCTCTCGCTACCGGCCGTAATCCGCTCCATGGCCGGTAGCGACAGTTGTTTTACCGCGGTCGCAACCTTCTGCGAGGAGGTAATCTCGCAGAAGGAGGCGGCGGAGAAGGCCCGGGAGGACGACCTCCACTCGGACCTGATCCGCCGCCGGCAAACCGGGCGGCGGAGGCGCGCTTACCTGCGCCTCATGCCGCCCTGAGTGTGGCCGCGGGTGGACGGGATGGGTTCTCCCCTCCACCCGCATTAGTTGGCCAGCCGCGAGGGGGCGGCGTCCGCGTGTGCCGGACGTCGCCTAAAGAGAGGGTCCACGGAGACGGAGCCCGCATCAGGAGCGAGCCGGCGCTGGGAGGGGTCCAGAAGGCGATAACTACCTGGA